CTGTAGCAGAGGACCTCGATCAAGGTGCGACTAACTAGGTCGCCCTGACGACAATCAAGTCGTGAAAATGAGGTCAGGCCACCTCAATAGGAGAGGTAATTTATAAAGGCGAGAATAATTCAATTATATACAACGAAAAGAGTCTGCAACAAAACTTAACGCCCCATCAGTTTGTTTTTTATATTTTTTTAGCTTAGACCATGGTAATAGAAAATCAGTAATTCTTGAATAAGGAGCGACTGATAATTGAAATTGTCAAAATGAATTTGTCTCCACAAACGCCTTATTGACCGAGTTTGATAGTCGTTTTAACGTTGTCTTTGCCACCTCATCATTCTCGCCGGGATTCGAGCCATGGATGTCTGCATAAATTGGCGACACATTGCCACCCTGGCTGGCAATCGGTATCTCTTTCAGTGGGAGTGTCAATGAGGCGAATTTATATTTGCCATTACAGTCGACGACACTACTTATATTCGAATCGAGTAGTTTTCGAGACAATCAAGAAGTGAAAACCGTTTCAGAGACAAGGCTAGGTCAAATGCAACAGTGTTTTAGGGATTATTCTTTCTATTCAGCCTATTTTTTTGCAAAATTCAAGCTTACCTACCTGAAAATTTGCATTTCCCAGCCGTCCGGGCATACTGGTTCTGAAGGTATTCTCCTCCCAATGTTTGCTCAGCCCCACCTTCTCTTCGTGGATTATCGGCGCTTCGGTGTCGTTCGCAGGCTCCCCAGCATAAGCCACTGTCTCTTCTGAGTTTGTATTGCCAACATAAAATTCATCAGCTTTGTCTCCCATCACACCAAAGCTTTCCTCTGCATCCTCATTTTCGTCGCATTTTGGGCTCAATTTGTCCGACCTCTCTTGTCTGCTCCCCTCGCCAGCATCGTATCGGGCAAAGTCCATCTTCAGAGGATGCTCTTTTCGCAGTTTCTCAAGGACCGACATGATGCTATCTGCCCTCATTTCGAGGTCTTCAGAATGCATCAAGTCGTCTGTCATGGAAAGAAAAGGCCTAATAAACTCTTCGCTTGTCTCAGCCTGGCCGGCCTCTTCTTCTCTCTGCTGGTCCTCTTTCTCTTCCTCCTCCTCGTATTCTTCTTCTTCATCTTCTTCTTCTTCCTTCTTGGCCCCCTCCTCCTCTTCCTCCTCCTCTTCCTCCT